GAGTATGTTCCTCAGCAAAATATGGCAATGGCCTTCTTTTCCTCTTTTTTTTTTTTTTCCTTTTTTTCTCCTCCTTTTGAAGTGTCTGAGAAACTGGAGTATCAGCAGGCCAGAATCAAAAGTTGTATCAGGAAATAGTTACCCAGGTCAGAGAGGCCTGGAAAGGCAAGAACTTTGATCACGGGCATTACAGTTGCTTAGATGTGCTCTAGAGTAAGAAATGTGGAGCAAGCAATTAAAAGATACATGTTTTAGGCATGAGTACAGTACTTGTTTACTTACATGGTTTGCTGAGCAGCCAGCAAGGTCCAAGGTTATTTTGGGCTCAACATGAGTAAGTGATCCAGGTATGAAAAATGAGGTAATGCATTCCAGGCTCATTAAAAACTCTTGGCTACACCACTGATTTTGACAAAGTGCCAGCATAGCTTGACCTCAGCTCTGTGAAGGCCACTATTTTTTTTTAACACCCTCCCTATAACAACAAATCTTCTGCATCAGCCAGAGTATGTGAATGTAGGGAACAGTGTTATTGGGAGGTTGAACTCCCTGGACCTCCAATGATAATCAAACTCTAAAAAAGAGGTCATTTTACAGTAAGTGACCTGCTAAATTCAGGTACCCCAAAACAACAGCCATTATTTCTTTATTTATTCATGGCATTATCGGTGTGGATGTAGCTCAGGTGAGGCTGACCTGATAACAGGGAGATGGTAAGCCCTGTAATTACTTCCCCATCCTGGACACATAGGAAAAGAAGGTGGCAGGTGAATGTGCTGTCTTGTTGTGGCAGCCCATGTTTTTCCATTGTAAACAGTGTTAATGGTCATGGTTGATTTTGGCAGCTCCCACTTTTGGGTATTTATCTTTCCCCTGCATAGAACTTGCCTTTCTTGGGGTAAAACCAGAGCTGGTGGGACTTCTTCTAGGCAGTGAGGTGTGGAAATTCGCCTTTTTCCCGTGTCCTGCTGAGCAGGCAGTGTCTGTGAAAGTTGATCAACTGAGGGTGGTAGAGAACAGTAGCCACAACCTTAGTGAATTTTCTGAGCAAGTGAACAGGGTAGCTGCCCTCTCCCTCTCCTTCTGGCCTATCCCAATCACCTACAATATCCTGATGTTTGCACAGACTGGTGAGAGTGCTGCAGGGGAAGAGGTAATTTTTGAGCAGTGATGCTTTTTCTTGGCTCCATGAACAGAAAGAACTTCTGGCTTGGAGGAAACAGCTAGCTAGTGAGCAGCATTAGCCTTGAGCTCCTCTTTTTTCTGTTCTCTTGGTGGGTCAGAGCCTACAGCTGAGCTTATCAGTGATTCCTGGTCTTTATTTCTCTGAACAGATGCCTCTGAATTGTCCTTGTTCAATTACTGGAGTTTGTAGGCAGCTTGTGCAAGAAGAGACTTTGGAAGCATCTTCTTATTGGGATATGTTTAGACAGCAAAGATTTGCCAGTCTTCATCTACAGATAAGCTAACTCATGCTGTGCATTACACAGGCTTTGCATTTAACCTCTCAGGTGTAGCAGTTTGCAGTAAAAACTGCAATGTAGGGCATTGCTGGTGTTTTGGCAATACAGAGCCCAGCCACAATCTGGGGACTCCTCCAGGCCCAAGGAATGTTCACTGGTACTTGTGTGCATTTTGCTGCTGGCTGTGTTTTACCTGGCCACACCTGAAAGGTTTGCCAGGATTCAGCAGGTAGAAGGAGTGGGAAAACACCACACATTGGCAAAAGGCAATCACGTTGTCAATTACACAGGAAAGAAGGTTTTTTTACTGGTACTGTGTTGTCTCTCTCGTGCTCCTGTTACAAGCACTCACACCGAAGAGGTGGCAAATAACGCAAACTTTTTTCTGTACTTATTTATTCATTCTTTTACTTCAATTTTCTTTGCTTATGCTCTCGCCTTCTGGGAATGTGTAAATTATCAGGCCTCACTGCCACAAATGCTTTCAGAAGATGAATTTGAAAGCCATATGCACAAACACATGAAGAAAGTGAATCATTTTGGATATTCTTAGGTAGTCATGCCAGAAGTCCTTCTCCACTAGAAAACAGAAGAAAATCCATAGGATACTCACTTAGCTGTCCAGTACATACTGAACATCCAACATCATCAGGAAAACTGAATGTGACTAAGCCACAAAATGTATAAAATTGCTTTAAAATAATTATGAATAACAAATTCAAGACACTTGCAGTGTGCTCATGAATATGTCAAAAATTAAACAAAAGATGACAAAATTGAAACATGAATGTGACTTGTAAGTTCTTTCTTCTGTCCTAGTCATATTTCCTTGCTCACACGAACAAAACGAATGTCACTGAAATGCAATAATCTTCAAATAATGTGTTTATTTATAATGGTTTAGGGAGCAAATATTAATGACTTTGTTTCAAGTGTGACTTGGGACTATGTCAAATGTGGTTTTTTTTTCAGAGTAGATATTAGATGCCAGGACCTTCTCTTCTCATAATAATTCCTGTTGCTGCTTTCTTGTTAATTGTGTGTCAGATGTGGAGTGGCATTAGGTGATTTAAAACCATACCATGGGGCGTGTGGTGTGGTCCTTGTGTGTGCTGCAGACAGACCTTCCCTGCTGCAGCTCCTGAGCCACAGGGAGAATGCAAATACCCCATTTCATAGTGGGTTTGTGCCAGTTCTGCCGTGGAAAGCTCCAATTCAAACAGTGTTTATATGCAAGCTCAGTATACCTGGAATTCAGGAACAAATGCCTTCTTGCTGTTAAAGCTTTTAGCAAAACATTAGCAGTGCTTTATAGTGTGATGCAAAGTACTGTGCCAAAACTCGGGATAACAAGTGTGTTTGAAAAACATTGAGCCTTGAACTAGTTCCTTTATTTGTTAAAAAGTAAGAACGGAATGAAGGAACAAAAGAAAGGACGAATAACTCCCATGCAAGTATATTTCATGGTAGCTCAGCCACATCCCTCTTTGGCCATTGGTTGGGCCAGGCCTGGGGATCCTTTCATTCAAAGGTTAATCTTTTAATATGTGTGCCAAAGTGTAGTAAATTGAGGGAACATTTCTGTTTCCTTCAGTACCTTTTTAAAGAACTCAGTGACTGCTGAGGCAGACCGTGGCTAAGGATCTGCTCCGTCCCATCCAGGTCGTGTGCCAGAAAAATCCCTGTAGGCATCAGGAAGACATCAAAGCTTGAGCGGGGTTTATAAATAAGGCAGGGCGGCGTGGCCAGAGCTGGCAGCCGGCGCTGGAGCCCTCGGAGCTCATCCCACGCTCCCGCCGAGCCGCTCATCTCTGTTTGGATGAGTAATGGAGCCGCTGGGGGAGGGGATTTGTAAGCACGGAGCGAACACTCGCAGCGCTCGTTTTGTGTGAGACTGACATCCACACCACGTTGAGACTCCCAGCGACGTGGTGTGCAGTCACATGCTGTAGCATTCATGAGTTCAGATATAAATCAGGCAGATGTTTGTCGACTGGAATGGGTAATAATTTCTTTCTCTCTTTGTTTGATTTTGCATGTTAGCCTCAGATGACAATTTCAGAATTGCTTTCTGCAGTACTTTTCAATAAGCAGAATGTGCTTCACTGGAGATAAATGGAGATATTTCTGTGGGGAGATATGTGTATTTTTAGATAGACACAAATATGGACTTACTCCCATATGCACACGCATATATATATATACTCATACACATATAGATTTTTTTTTTTACCTTACACCAGCGTTGGGGGAAGAAAAAGGATCTTTTTATTTTAAACCCAAAGCTTTTCTTTTTCTCGGAACAGACCAAATATGAAAGTGCTACTCAAACTATAAAATCAAATTAGCACCCTTTATTGTGTTTGCAAACTAATTAAAATGTAAAATGTCCTGAAACCACTGGCTTACTGTGTAACAAATGAAAGATTAGAAACAATTAGAAGACACTCAAGAGGTTTGTGATGTTTAGATTTCTGACATTGTTCTAATCATCCCTTTAAGTAAGGAAAACAATGGTTACCTAAAAATTAAAGGTTTAAAGGAAATTATCTTATTTGGTACAGTCATTAGTTAATGATTGTTTATCATTTTAAATGTTGCCATAGTAGTCCGAGGCTGCTTTTTAAATCTGAAAGCAGAGGGGACATGTAATAATGAGCAAACATCTGCTTCATCTATTATTTCTATATATGATCATAATTTATGTTGTAATAGCACTATTGAAAGATGAGTGTGATATTTTTTATGATGATCCATATCCCATTCCTCGTATGGCTCAGCACAGCTAGGATTTAGTCACTGTGTTATTTCAGAGCTGTTTTATCTTAAGAATTGGACAAAACTGAAAGTGATTCACATTAATTTGTATGTGTGGTATGTAACCCTTATGAAACAATCAATCACTTATTTCAGTACTTGTCAACTTCCAGAATTAGTTGTTAAGGGGTTTTTTTTGATCCCTTTCAAGACTCAGGGGTAATTTTTTTATTTTTTTCTTAAACTTTTTTAGAAAAACTTTGACAAGACTGACAGGATATATAAACATTTCTTGGAGCTGTAAGGAATTTCAATATTTCAGAGCATTTCCAGTGCCAGATGTTTCCCAAAGTTGGAAATAGCAGTTAGTACTCTTGCTTGAAGATTAGAAATAAAGGCAGCAGGGTGATTAAAGTTGCCTGTTAATATTAAATTTTGTTCTTTTTTGTACCAGGGAGAAATATTTGTGCTTTCTCTCTGATTCCTTGGGAGACCAGTGTTTGACTTAATATTAATTAGTTATGTGAAAGTAGAATAGATTAGCCTTGGGGGATATTCTATAAAAATGTATAGTGTGTCAAGATGTAACCCATAGAGGATGGGAATCTCATAATAAGCATTTACTGTAGACAGATGTGTACATTTCTGTGAGTGATTGTAGTGGAATTATTTATTATGCTTTTGGCATAAATCCAGTAAGAAGACAATGTGCTCAATGTGCTCAAAGTTAAGAATCCAGTCTAAGACAATGTGCTCAAAGTGTTCTCCATTAATTTTCAGCACCAAATCTTAAAGGCAGACCGCGCAAAAAGAAGCCATGCCCACAGAGAAGAGATTCATTAAATGGCATTAAGGATTCCAACAATAATTCTGAAAGCAAAGCTGTTGCCAAGGTAAATCACTTAATAATACTCTTTTCGGCACTCTTCTGTTTTAGATACAACCCTGCCTTTGTTTCCCAGCATGCGGTTTCACATTTAGAGTGTAACTTATTTTCTTGGGGAGGTAAACTTAATTTTTTCAATAGTTTTATTTTTCACTTTAAATCATGCCTGTGTTCAAAGTTACCAGCAATTATAATCACCTAACAACCTAATGCTATCAGCTTGTTGGTAACTGGTAGTGCTTAAGCTTTCTTGGCATCTAGTGTTAGTTTTCACATTCTGTGACACACAAACATAGTGTGTGACAGTATCTAGGAATTAAAAATAAACCTGGGAGCAGCTCACCCTGTTACAATGTACTTCTAAATATAAGTTTGAAGATAAACAGACTATGAAACAAGAGCTGCCTCAGTAATGGTTTCTAAGAAGCAAACACAAAAGACATTACCCTGATGTTAAGATCTCGACATTTTTTAATTGGAAAAAAAATAAAGGCAGGAACTCAATATGAAAGGTTAAAAAAAAATCTGGGCTGTTTCTTTAATACTGCTGAGCTGCATGTTCCACGGTTTGCTGAATAGTGCATGCTTTTACAGAGTCTTCTGTGTGTGCTGCAGTGCTTAGCCCATACTGCAAGTAAAAATTGGATCACTGATTAGTGTTTATAGACTTAATCTCTAAGATATTTGTGGGTTTGTGTCCTTTCCTTAAAATATTTTAAAATGGAGTTTCTGTGGTATAAATTGCATCCTATTTTGTATGTTGTCTGAGTGGTTTTAGACAGGAATTTAGTTTTCTCTTAAAAAAAAAGAGCAGCACAAATGGCTCCTTTCAAGATGATTTAATTAGAAACTCTAAGGTGCAAAGATGGAAAATTACTTAAAGCAATAGTTGATTTTTATCTGAGACAGAACTTTGTCGCTTATACTTTTAAGCTAAACAGCTAAAGAGATTTGCATATACTGAATTTTTACACCAGCTCCTCCCAAATCTATTGTTTCAATAAATTAGATGGATGTGTATCTGAAAAACACTTCCATTGCTGTGACCATCTCTTTAGGAAATCCATTTGCGTTGGTATTGTTGTACACAGTGAATGTCCTGGGAGATTAGGAGGTTAAAGAGGTCAAGTAGGAGTGTTCTGCTCTCAGTTTCTCACAGGAAGGCAAATTAAATTCCACCTCCTCCTCCCTAGGAGTTCAGTTAAAATTGTGCCTTCTGTTGATGACGATAAAAGAGGCTGAAGTTCATGATGAAACTCTGCCCTTAAGTCATTGTTTCTCTTCTTTTTGGGCCCTATTGTGCTCAGTTGGAGTCTCTACTATTGTATTAGACGGGCATGGTAAGAGGTGATGGAGCCTGGTGTGTTGAGTTGCAGGGTCCTGCCAGATACCATAGAGTTTGTCTGAATGTTTTCTCTGTGAAAGAATGTGCAAAATGCATTGTGTGAAAATGTCTCAATTTGCCTCAATTTCCCCTTCCCCCAAGCCATTTTTCATGTCAAAATATTGCCAGTGCACTGTGGCATGGACCATATTGTCAAAGCACCCCAGACTGTAGCACAAATAGCTCTGCCTCTTCAGCACCTGATATATAGGTATTAGATAATTAAAAACAACAGTAACACTTCATACCAAATTGTTTATCCTCTCTGTTTATCTTTGGGTTCACTTCTAGTCAGATGGGAGGATATTTCAGATAAGAAGTAATTCCACCTATTTATCTAGTCATACTGTGCTCATCATTGTGCAGATATTAATAGCATTAATTATCTTGGCCAGCTTAATTTCATTATAAATAATAGACATGCTCATGATATAATGTCCTTGCATGTAGTCACACTGACTTCACTGTGGCTCTTCACATCAATCTGTGTCTCAGGGCTATGGATACACTTCCCTGAGAGGGGGACAGTGAATCAAACCCTGCATAGCAGATGTACTGCACTTTGTACAGACCCTGCCTCTGCCTTACTGGGGACAAAGGAGAAGGGTATTTGAGGAAGGAGAGAAATAGAGATCCACCTACCATCTTGTCATTGCTGGGAACTGTTAGGATGTGGTCATCTGAAGCTCCATGTTGGAGTTCACCATTGGTTATCCTCCTCTGTGTGCTCCATGTCTGACTAATGCTGACAATGGGTCCATGGAAAGCAGGATTGAACACTGCTCAATGTGAATGGGATTAATCCACTTCAGGCAGATGCTGAAGCATTTAGCAGTCCTGGCTATATTCTTGTTGCAGATAAAATCCCTTCTGACCAGAAGTTGTGCAGCTTGCATTCTCAGGTCCTGTCACTCAGTGTCTGCAGCAGCCTCATTTCTCACTGGTGGGGCGATGGCTCTGATGGAATTGCAGTAGCTGAATGGTTTGGGTTGGGAAATGGCAGAAGGGGCATTCCAAAGGCTGTGGTTTTAAGCCTGTCAAGACCAATGCAAGCTGCATAGTTGTCATGACTTGCTGAATTTCATGTTCTCTACTGCCAGTGACTAGAAAGCTTAATTCTTAAAACCAACTTCTCATCAGGCATGTTTGTCTTGAGCTATCAGCAGATCATTTAGAGGGTTTCACAGTTAACCTGACAAGGAAAAGTGTCTGGTTGGTAGGAGCATTTCTGGATCAATTCCAGTATAGGTGACTTGTTAGAAATAGAGTGATGGCGTCACAGGTAGTGTGGTCCTGGACCTGCAGGTGCTGCCAGGGAAGGTGGGTCTTTTGTGTGCCACTTCTTTTGCTCTGTTGATCTCTTTGGTGGTCACTGCATCAATTTTAGTGGCTCCTGGGGAAGATGCCAGGGGAGTTCCCTCCACAGCTGGAAAAGGAATACAAGTCGATCTGCTCCACAGAGGAACAGCTCTCCTGGAGAGGGATATATCAAGATCTTCCCTTGAAACATTCCTCGGACTCTGGAGGCTTTCATACTTGATGCATCATCAGTACTGGACAGGCTTTTGGAACTTGGGGCTCCAGCAGATGTCCCTCATTGTTCCTGCTTCATCTTCCCAGAGAGTGTCCCCAATTCAAAGTGTGTTCTAATGCTTCTTAAAACTGGCTGATCTGACCATTTTGAGGAACTGAAAGGATTAATTTGTTAAACGTGGAAATTGTCCCCAAATGAATCTATTAATTACATCTCCTAGTGCAATTGCTGAAGTAAACCTCTCACTTCATTTGTGCGACAGGATCTGGGAAATTAGTTTAAAAGTTGCCAGGATATGCTTTTCCTGTGGCCACAGGTGGCCTGGCATGCTCTCGGACTTGGAGATTTATTCCGAGTGCCTCGACCATTATCTGATGGAAACTGTAAAGTGCAGATCTGTTGTGGTCTGTGTTGTGTATGACCTCTGGCAGGAGAAGACAAACACACAGTTGTACCCATGAGTGTTCACTGACCATTTGGTGATGGATCATCCACCTCTGATGGAACACACAGCAGGAAGATGGTCAGATGTTCCAGTGCACCTCCCATCTTACCCCGCTTAACTCAGCTGTGGCCCTGGGTTTGTGTTTTGAAAGAGAAGGGCAGTTGGTGGTGCTTGGAGCAAATCTGGTATCATTCTCACTGATTTTGATATGTTTATGCTGGATTTACACTGGTGTTACCCAGAATGGCATTTGGCCCTTTTTGTTCTCATTGATCATTGGTCATGGCATTCATCCATATTGCCTGTCAGATGGTGGGGAGGTTCCAGAAGTGAGGTTTGGGCCTTAAGTGCTGAGCAGATGCAGCATTGTAGCCTTCACCAAAGCTTTGTTGAACCTGATACTGCTTGGAGTCAGCCCATTGCATTTTGACACCTCTTGAGTTCCACAGGGGCTTTGACCTTGCTTCTCTGTAGACAAAGAGAAGAAGGTTGTGTGTACCACAGGTTTTTCCCACTCCTGGTAGCTTTCTTAACCTTACTTTGCCTTTGTCTCCTTTAGGGTAGTATCCCTTGCCATTAGTTTGCTTGCACAGCTGTGAGCTTTGATTTCACTTAGAGTTCATGCCCAGGTTGTCTTTGTAAACATAGTTCTGAATTGTCTGGTTTGAAAAAGAGAATCCAAGCAAGTGGGTGAGAAAACTGCAATATTGTTCCCAGGTCCAGTGAATTTGTTCCAAATTTGCAGCTCCAATTAAAAGTCCCAGAATTATTGGAAGTTGTGCATTCCTTTTGGGGTGTTAACCCAGTCTTTGGTGAAGCATTGAAACCTATGACAATGTAATCTAAACTTTGGAAGCTGCTAAATATTTTTTGTGATATGCCAAAGTAAACAAAGTCAAGGAATTACAGTGCTGACCTGAAAAGTGGATGAGGAAGTTCAAAGTTCATTTAATAGGGAAAAAAATGCTGTTAGCTCCTCTGAGTTTTGGATGAAACCCACGATCTTTACAAAAGTTTAATCAACAAGCATATCTGTTTCTAAAACGCAAAGGATGGTGTCTTGTGCTATAGGAAGACAACATCTCTTTGAACTGTGCAATTGGAGAATATCAAGCAGTACACTGGACGTACTTCAGCAGCAAGTGATCAAGAAAAATCCCACAGGAAGTCCATTTCCCAGTCCCTGCTGCATTGCCTGGGAGGAGTGAGACAACTCCAGTGGCCAGTATTGGAGGTTTTTCAGCAGCATCAGTTGCCATGGAAAATTGTGACCACTTGTCCACTCTGCTTAGGAGCTACCATTGCTTTGTCCAGCATCTGTGGAAAACTGTGGAGCAGATCACCTGAACTCAGTACTCTCTGCAAAGTTAATACCTGGAGCAGTATAACAGTTTTGCTTTCCCTGAGCCTGAAATGCCAGCGTATCTTTTATTAAGATAAAATAACCATATTGTGGTTGTGGTCTTTCCAGTGATGTTTGTTGTTTGTTTACAAGCACTTACATAATGCTCTTCAGAGCAGTTGCTTCCAAATTGTCAACAAGTATCCAGAAAGCACCTGGTTTAGAAGTGACAGTTCTGAAGGAGGGCCCATGGGTTGCTTGACCAAGAGCTCCTGCCTTCCTGCGCAGCAGGATACTCTACTTTCCTCTGGTATCCTCCTGAAATACCAAGTCATGGCTCTTAGAGCCTCCCTGCTCCCCCTGGGAGTACAAAGAACCTGTCTTGGATGGGGTATGGAAGGCTCCTGACAGCGCTCAGAAGCATTGAAGGGACAGTGCACATCCAAAATACATGTAACCATCTTCACTACCTTGTATTAGAGAACTTCCAGTATTTCACTGGAAATTTATTGATCCCATGGTCCCAATGTCTTGGTCATGTACAGCTTGTAAACATCAGGTTTCTGCTCTTTTTTTTTTTCTTTTTTTTTTTTTGTATACATACCTTAAGTGAATGCTTGATTTGTAATTTGCTTCATTCAGTGAGAGGATTATCTTCAAGAGGGACTGCAGGATTAAGCCAGTCTCACTGGGTATTTTTCCTCATGTATGAATACTGAGGAGAGGTGAAGTGGTTCCAATTTATTGATTTCCTGACTGGCACACATCTGCTGGGCAGTCCAGTGGAACACCTGGAGCTCTGCATTGGGGATGCCAGTGTCTACCAGGAAAGTGTCCAGCTACCAGCCTCTGCCTTCTGCTAAATACTTAGGGCTCAAGTTTAAGCAGATGCTCAAATACACTTGACTTGAGTCCATGCTACAGCAGAACCTCCACTTGTGTGCTGAGGGCTCTGCCTGGATAAAGCTTGTCGTGGTTTGCATCTGTTTTGGTGGGCCAAAGGAGAGAAAAATGTGTCATTTCAGAGCTGGCTGCTGAGCATTCCTGGAAGGGGCTGAGCACCATCAGCTCCAAGGGTTGTCTACAGGAGTTGACAATGCTCAGTGTCAATCCTGGAACAAGGGTTATTATTAGACTTGCTAGTGGCAACTGTATGTGAGAGATAGAAGCTGTGACATAGCAATGTATAGTCATAAAAATGCAGATCTGGAGAGCATTACCAGTGAGTTATAATGATTTAAAGATGTGGCTGTTTAAAAATGTTGTGACTAAGATTCAGAACAAGACATTTAGCTCTATAAATAGCTTCCTTTGTTTCCCCTCAAATACAGTTGCATGGTTTGGCCTTCATTTTTTTTAAACAATCCATTCTGCTAGGAGAGGGTATTTATTCCTTAAGTGAAAATTAAAGGTTACGCAGATCTGATATGACATCTTTTCTTTTCCCAGGTAAAATGTGAGGCTAAGTCAGCTTTGCCCAAACCCAAGAGTAACAACAGCAACTGTAAGAAAGGCTCAAGTGAGGATAAATCAAAGATTGCCATAGGTGAAGAATGCAGAGCTGATGAGCAGGCTTTCCTTGTGGCTCTTTATAAATATATGAAAGAAAGGAAAACACCAATTGAACGAATACCCTATTTAGGTTTTAAGCAGAGTAAGTATCCTTTTTCTCACTTTCTTGTTGACGTTTTAGAATGGTTTGGCTTCTCTGGAGAAAGCAATTGCACACAAAGCCTATTTTAAAGCCTTATGGATGGGGAGGGACCATGTTTATCTCTACACATTCTCCAGTCGAGGCATTTCACTGTCTTATGCCTAGATTTGCATCTCTTCCTTCTGGGGTAGTTGCTGCCGGATATTTATAGGTTTAAATCCGCTGATTATGACTAGAAATAGGCATGTTGAAAACTCTCTAGTTTTCTGTTTTGTAAATCTGCAGCGTCTGTAATGCCTTTCTTCTGAGTTAATAATATGACGTATCTTTATTGTGCCCAGATGTTCTTTATGAAAGGACAAATATTAAAGGAAGACATTTAAAGGTGGTCAAGAAAGGCACAAAAGGGATCATATTTTTAAGCCCCAAAATGTGTTTCTAGTTAATAAATTACTGACTTTGGAGAATAAAACCAGACTGTATCTGCTTAATACAGAATGCAGTCTTGAGAATTGCTTTGGCATGTACAGTTTGTAGCGCCACAATCTGTAAATTAATTGTATGTGGAGAAGATACAGTTGAAACTGAATTTTGCATAAATATTGCAGTACAATGTAGATCTTTCACAGTTTCCAACAAAAGCTGTAAATGGGGGAATTTCTCCTCCTTATCTATAGATTGAATGATACTTTATTTCCTTAAAGGGAAAACGCCATGGATTGAAATATTATTTACTCTAATTTATCTCCTAGATTAAAACCATGTGTTATTTTGATGAAGAATGTCAAACCTGTATGTTTTACATAACAATTTACATACCTAATAGCAATTGGCACTGATTGCAACAGGCCTCCAGCAGCCATTATAAACTTATATAACTCAGAATGATTACAGTGTTTGTCTGAAAACTGGCTGCTTGAAATGGGAGTAAAATTAATGTACTATGAACAGCTTCGTTGCATTATGCATTGGTTCAGATTAAATCAAGGCCTAAGCAAAGCTCTTGATAGCTTTGAAGCAGTACAAGGTTCAATGAGGCTTTCAGAACATTTTGTGTTGAAGAAATTTTTTATTTCTTCCCCACCCCCCCATATTATTCTGCATTCCATCAAGCATGGAGACAGGGTGGGCTCAAAAGACAATCTAAACTATTATTTCTAAAGTTGCCCACTGAGGGTAGGGTCTGCTGCTAACATTTAGCTGAAATACATTGAAACTTGCCTGACATTCATTATGAAGTTGGGGCCTGATCCGGCAAATACTTAAATACCAAAAGTATGCCAAGAAGAGCAGAAATGTTTGCAGGATGGGGCTCTGTATTTGTCCAGCAAGGCTTGTGCAAACATTGCCAATATAAATAGGTTGTTGGGAAGAGGCAGAACATAGAGTACAGCAGAGCATCCCCCCATGGAGAAGGAGATCCCATTCTCCATGGTCCACAGTGTTACTGCTGACCTCAAGTATTTGTAGTGTGTCTGTGGGGAATCACTGTTGGTGGAATTGTGCATACACCTTTGATAGGACTGACATGGATTTTTCTTCTATCAGTTAAATTAGCTAAAATAAAAATTTAAATTAAAATTAAATTAAATAAAATAGACACCAGCAAGCAGTGACCCCATGGGACAGGGGGCCAGGATGAAAAGCATGTGAAAGGAGAGAAGTTCTGCAGGAAATAACAACTCTCTCCCAACACATCTTTTGAATTGAGTTGCCTCTGTGCTCTGACCCCACAGCCACAGGCAAGGCACAACCAGCCACAGCACAATTTTTCCAGTAATGCTCATTCGTGCTCCATCTGGGTTCATTCACGCAGGGCCGCTAGAACGCAGCTTATTGTTCATTGATTATGGAGCCCATTATCTGAGCTGCAGTAAATATTGGATATTGTCTAATCAATAGGCCTGCTCTGTGAGCCAGTGTGTGGGGCTTGCTTGCTTGCTAATGAAACCAGTATTAAACAAATAATTAAAAGTAACATTCTTCCCAGTGAGTAATTTTTATTATCAAAGTTATGGAAACATGCTACAGTCATTATACCGTGTCTCTTATCAGCAAAGTCAAATGAGCCCATTACCTTTGTCTCAGTGTATTTTTCCAGTCCTGTTAAGGAATCTCTAAGCGTGTTCTCTTATATGTAATTAAAAATATATATAGTATGGGCTAATATTTACTCTTCAGATTATGTGAATACCTCTTTGGAAAATGTTTCGCAGGAGCTTTTTCAGGGACTGTGAGCTTTTTTTTCTCTATTTTTCTTTTTTTAAAACTGTTTAATTTACATTTCTTTGAAATATGTTGGCTAATGCAATGCTTATCTAAATACTTATTGTCCCTCTAACAGTTAACCTTTGGACTATGTTTCAAGCTGCTCAAAAACTGGGAGGATATGAAACAGTAAGTGTTTAAGTAACTTAAATGAAATAATTGTGCAATCTAACTTTTCCCTGTTAGAAAAAAAAAATGTGAAAGCAAACAATCATTTGCTGCATTTTAGACTAGCTGTACTCATTGTGGGTTTATTGGGCCATTTTTGGAAATGGTCCCAATTAGTTCCAGATCTGGCAAAATTGTAAACTTGTCGTAAAAACTCCAAGTGGAAAACATATGTAACTCTTCTCTGTCAAGGAAATTAGTTAGGTCTGTAATTTTTTCCCATGTTGAGAAAGGGCTATTATTGTACAACAAGCCAAGATTGCATAAAAGAAATTTCACTTGGCAACATCCCTGACATCTGTTCATGTCTAATATGGGAAATGTATTAAAGGCTTTCAAAAGTAATCAGCATTGTCCATTAAGGAATAGTATGCTGCAGAATCTTCTCTTATTCCAAGTGTAAAAGAGCTTTATTAGACAAGGGTCAGTATCACATAAACAGGAAGTTATCAAAGTAATTCAGAAAAGTCTCTGACACTTTTTATCAGCTAACCATATCTGACGAGAGCGGTTTATTTTTAGCTCACAGGAAAATTTGATGGCCACGGATTTTACAGCATGTATTTTGAACCAATAAAATATTAGAGCAACAAACTCAGATTAAAATCTTGAAATGAGAAGAAAGAGACGCATTAATATGGCACATCGAGATGACATCTGTAATAAAAAAACAATTGACATAGGAAGATGTCGTCACTGGAAATATTTTCTTCGCACACAATGATCAGATTAAGTTGTTCAGTTCCTGCCACAGTTAGATGAAAGAAATTATTTTTGCTTTGTTTATGAAGTAATCTGGGACATATCTGTTCTGTAGAGAAATGACAAGAAATGCACTATCAAGAAACTGAAAGTCATTTGAACCAAAATGCAGAACTCACTATTTTCCTTCCTTGCAATAAAGCACAGTGCTCTGTACATCAGCAGCCCGGGCTGGTTAGCATGGGTGTGCCTGGGATTTTGTAAAACATGAAATCTAACATTCTTTAAAAAAATATATGCTTGATTTGGCTTTTACTGTTGCTCTATCTTTCATTAATCAGCACATACCATGCTTATGTACAGGGGTGTGTGTAGGCGTGCTCATGGGTATGTATGAATGAATAGCTACCATAGATAGATCGTTACAGCAATTATGAGCAGTAATTGCTCGAGTTGTAAAGTGCAACGAAAATGAGGGCTGAAATCTTGAACTTGATCCAGAGCACCAGGGAAGGCCAGGAGGGAGATTGAAGGGAGAGTGGCATGTTCAGAGTGCTCAGGAAGGCGAGCAATTTTCACAGCAATGTTTCAGGTTTGCTTGAGGGGACTGAGTACAGAAGCAGGGATCCCAAAGTGGTCGCTTGCTGGAGAGGCCTGAGTTTTAGTGCCAGAGGGAGAGGGATGGATTTCAATGAGCTGGAGCAGGTGAGGCTCTATACCTGAGGGAGAACAAGAACAGGATTGTGAATTTGTGGCCACCAGGCCACAAAGGCAGGTTTGAGAAAGGTGACAGGATGAGAGGGGAAGGATCACAGCCAGAGTAGCTTCAGTCCACACTTGTCTCAAAGCTCCTGTCCTTTTCTCGGTGACAGATGTTCTCTGTTGTTTAGGGGCATTTGTCACCTTGAATGAAAATGTACCAGCAGTGCTTATTCTTCATAGAGAGTAAACTAAGCAATTGCTTCCTATTCAGTAAATGGCAAGGCAAGCACAGCTCACACCTCTGACATAGCCCTGAGCCCAGCTTTCATTGGAGAGTGAGTGTGTCTGAAATGATGGGTCTGTCCTGTTTCTGTGCTCTTTGCAGGCAACCTGAAGTTGTGAGGACTGTTGTGATGCAATTTAAGTTGTATATGGAGCATGAGGTTTCCTGACCTCATTCTCTTCTGTTAACAGTCTCATCCTCGATATGGATCTGCCTTTGATTTAAATTCCCTGAGTATCATATTGATAGCTGTTGCAATACTTTGACCTGTGCACACCCTGGGATTTATTATTTTATGGCCAGTTGATATGCATTGAGTTTGCCAACTGCATTAGCTTGTATATAGTTTATAATGGGCAAACCCTGCTGAGAAGCTTTTGTGTTTTATTTGTTTCATTTTTCACAAGTCAGTGGATGGTAGGGGTGACATGGACCTCAGTTATCAGTTCTAGGATCTTAGGCAGGTCTACTTAGATGCAGAAATTTCAAGTAAGGGCTTGAATTCAATGTTGAGCAGAATCCAGCACTCTCATACATGGTGCTACCATCTATTGATGAGGAGAAGTTGTGGAGTGCAATGGCTTTGTCAAACCTGCCCTGTTTAATATGCATTTATCAATGCACTTCCATCTGCTGGAGCAAACCATTACAAGGGCTTCATCATCTTCAATTGGTTTTAAAATTTCACAAGTTTCTGGTTTGAGCATTGAGATAGAAATACGTCTTTTCTCTTGGAAATATTGTAAAGAAAATGATATTTAAAAGTAGATGTTTGACTTCAACATGTGACAGCCATTTTATGAACAGGAAATAGATAAAAGATTGCTTAAAATGACATATGGAAACTCAAAGTAGTCAGATGACAATTTTAAAGCAGCTTAGAAACCTTCCCAGTTAGAGCAGTTGCAAACTTTAATCCTTTTATTTAGCAGAACAATTATAGTCTGCCCATTTTTAATTTTATCCACTGCCTTGTCCACTTTGTTCATGTATAGGTGTTTTGATGCAGTCTAAAAACCATTATTGAGAAAAAGCATGGATCATTTGTGGTGTTTTTCAGCTTCTGCACAGATTCACAGAAGACTTTTGTGATATTTTTGAGTCCAGTCCTGTCAGTTAAGGATCTAAAAGTGACTGAGAACAGACAGGAATTGGATTTGAGATGCAGAGAACAACTTTCTTAGCCATCTGACTTTCCCCCTGGGGGAATGGATCCAGTGAGGCTTGACAGAGAGCATTACCTTTGTATATGGGATATAAATACAGGATATCTAATAGTGTCAAGTCATGATCGTGTGTCATATTTAAGTGCTCTCCATTTCAAATACTTAAGAGAGTCATTTCTCCTCCATTTGATTACTAATTCTTAGTTAGTTGTCATCTATAACTGTGTAATATCACACTCCCTTGTAGTTGTTGTTGAACAAGGCTTAATAAAAACAGCAATCCATACAAACTGGTTTAAGACTTTAACAGATGAAGCTGTCTCTTTGTAGTTGGTGGAATCATATTTCTCTTAAACAAAGATATGTGAGATGAGCATCTTTGTTACTAATAATAGGAGAGTGCATTGGAAAGCACTCTCTATAGCAGACCTTCACAGTATGAGTGACTTAAAATGTGCCCAAATCACTGGATGAAATATGAGACAATGCCATGTTGTAGGGGACTCAGCTGCAGTGGCACTTAACAGCTATTGCTTGGAATTTTCTCAGTCACCCTAAGTCAAGTGAGTAAAAGGTGCAGAAGTTCATAGATGGGAAACTTCCAGGACTTTCCTAAAAAGTTGTCCTTGGCAAATTATGAAGTAGCATTTTTCCTTCTGAGCCAACATAAAAGGAGTGCCTTGGCATGTTTGCAGAAGGCTGTGCTGCTGAATGGACTCTACCTGGAGATGTCTTAGAAAGATAAAGGATAAAAAGAAAATTAGGTGGAGCTTAACCTTCAGTATGTAGCCACTTAGATTTTACCAAAGGTCAGTGGGATCCCATTTAGCTGCTGCCTCCTGGAAGCAACAATGGAGTGCTTTAATTTTTAAAAATTAGTGATTGATGCATACATCAGTCCTGTGTCTGAGCAGGCCCGATGAAACTGGTATATCAGTGGAATGCAAAGCTGACTGGGTTTGTTTCATACAGAACTAATTCCCAGAGCTCTGAAGGGAGCTGTGAACATCACGTACCATGACCAGAAAATCTCCCATAATGTTTGCAGCAGGAAATAAGCAAGAAGCCTTTCACAAGGAAGGGAGCTGGGAGGTAGGATTGCAGTGCAGAAGACCTTAAGATTTCTCAAAGCAGAAGACACCATTAAAAGCATGTTTGTAAACAGCTTTCTACCTTAATAGATAAGATCATTGCTTTTATATGGGTTTTTTTTTTTTACTACCAGTCACTGCATAATACTGTGCTAATAGAAACCAGATCAGATCTGCTCTTACATCCCTAGACAGGCCAGTCTCTTTGCTTAACTTGGATTTCTCTTGGTTGGAGAAGATTTCACAGAGGCTTTCAAAAGTGCTGGCTTCCAATGGGCCCAGCACAAGGATTTTGAACTGGGAAGAACTTGTATGAGAAAGGCCCTCAGTTTGCACATGGTCAGTAGGAACATCCAGCTTGAGCAGTCCTGCCCTGCATGACAAGAGAGCACTTTCTTCAGTGAAGCATTTTGTTCAGATTGTTTAAGGATGTAATTAATCAGTTCCTTTAGTCCTTTGAAGTTTATTAAGCATAAAAAATAAACTTTCCAGAGCAGGGGAAAACTCAACCCCAGGCTTTGTTAGAATAACAATTGTTTCAGGGAATGTCAAATTTAAACTCCCTCTGTGGGAGGGCACAACTCAGTTAATTGCCAAGGAGCTCTGGTCCATTGCAGATGTAGAATTGGATAGAACTGGGCAAATGTTTCTGAAAATACTGTTATTCTAAGCAGCTTAGAAGAAAGAGACACAAAAAATGATCCGTGGACTTCAAAGGGATTCACTTTTCCCTTAGTTATGTTTACCAGTGTTCCAGCTTGAGTATCAGCTCTTGAGTCAGCTCATGATAAATGAGACTAAGGCTCTAAAGTTCTCCTTTTGAAAATGGAGACTGTGCTTCTCAGTCACATCAGGATGATTATAAGGGGGACTTAGAGTAGTCCTCCTGCTAACTAATCCTTGGTTTCATTTAAAGTTTCTGCTCAGCATCACTGTTCTTAGTCAAGGTTTCAGGTCCTGGACAGCCTTGCAAGCCCAGCCAGGTTGTGCTTGTCAGAGGGCCAGAGCAGAGACCCCAGAGCAGCTTTGTGCACCTTCATTCCCCCATCTGCAGTCCTGCCAGAGGTTTGCTTGCAGCAGTCCTCAAGGGATCTGTGATTTTTTGGGAGCTCCAAGAAGGCAAGGGCTGGTTGGCCACACCTCTGTCCTGTGTGTCCTGAGGACTGGTGGAGTGTGGGAGGCAGGACCAGAGGTAGCTTCCCATCCAGGCATTCCTCCACAACAGGATACCTGGTCCAACCCTCATTTGACTTTTTGGGTTGCATAAGGAGCATCCATTCATATTCTCAGGATGTGATGTTCTTTATGGCTCATTAGGACTCTGGTTCTTCAAGTACTTTAGTAGTAATAATAAGCGTGGGTAGCCTGGGGAAGGGACAGCACAAGAACTGAAACAAAACAGACTTAGTATGAACCTTATCATCAGATAAGTGTTTGATTTGTATTTAAATAACTTGCTTAAATAACTTAAATAACTTCTGTGGAATTTATCCTTGAATTGTTTGAATCCTTGTGCTGGTAGTCTTTGGGTTTATAATAAAGACAGGAAATAAAATTAGTGAATGAAGTCAGTTCATTTCGCTTTATATAAGGTTTAAGATAAAACAGCTTTTTTTTTTTTTTTTTTTTTTTTTTTTTTTTTTTTTTTTTTTTTTTTTTTTTCTTCCCAAAGTATGTTTAGGCATAAACTATGCTCAGGTGCTAATAGTGAGTTAAAGCTACTGCTGTTTTCTGGAGAACTCTGCAAACAATAAATTTGAAGAAATTGTAACGTTATCAAGTGATAAGACTCCAACCATGCTTTTGGCTTTAGCGAATGATTTCTGCAAAGGAAGGATTTTCCCTTTCTATTGAGCGAAACAGAAATATCTCTTACCCTGTAATATTTAATGATGGTAGCTATCTTCTCTTGTTTAGATTAAAATTACAGGCTTCAGATTGCAAGTTGTAATATTTGTTCTCTTCTGATTGCTGCCTTTAGCTCCTCAGTAAATGCCATTGACTGCTCTGTGGGTAACTCCAAAGAAGCCTCCAGGGCTGAATATATTAAAATCCACAGCATTCCACAGCAAATGACAAAATTCTCCCCAAATTGCCCCCACCAGTTTTCTACTGGCTTTCTTTATGAGCTGCAGGCAAACAAGGGTGATCTGTTGTGCTTGTCCTGTTCCTGTTTCTCTTCCTGTTTTAAATATAGCAGAATATATAAAATAATGAAGTGGTATTCAGAAACAATCCTTTTGCCAGGTCTTCCATCTGTTATTCTGTATAATCCTAATTTCTGTACAAAAAAACCCCAGAACCATGGTATGCAATTCAATATGTTACAAGATGTTTGTTTTCATCAGCATGGTCCAATAAAGTACACAGCTCAAATATTAACATTGGAGTACGTTAAGATTTCAGTACTATTTGATCTGTATATTTTACAGATATAAATGGATAAAAATAAACAGCTCGTAACATATATAGTTACGGACTATGGTTTTGTGGATTTACAGAATTCTGTGGTGGATTTGGGTTTTGCAGCAGATTTATTTTCTCTAATTCAGTTAAAATAACTATGTAATCATTATTTGTGCTGAATATGGTTTGAGCTTCATTTTCATAATTCACTGTGGGATTTATCTGCATAACTTCTGATAGTTAATGACCCTGTATTGATTGAGATTCTTTTGTGAGTCTATATTGCTTGTGACTTGATAATGAATCAGTCAGATCACTCCATTTTAGAGAGAAAGAAAATAGACATAGTGTTAACTTACCAAAAAAAAAAATACACCCAAAGCTCTGTGTGCTCTATATATTCTGTAGGGGCTTTTATAGTGCTCGTAGTACATGCTGTTCTGAAAGTGTCATATGTGCATTTGTTGTTGTGAAGTCAAATGCTGTAGAATCTGTAAAGATGCAAGATAAAATTTTCCATTGCCATTTTTACAGATAACAGCCCGTCGACAATGGAAACATATTTATGATGAATTAGGTGGTAACCCTGGAAGCACAAGTGCTGCTACATGTACTCGCAGACATTATGAAAGGTAAGATAACAAATCTGAAATGCTTGTTTAATAATGAAAAAATTAATTTGGAAAGCCTTCAAAGCATTTTATAAGGAATTAGAGAAAAAGAGAGAGAGTTATCTTAAAGATATAGTAAATAGTTCCCCAACAGTTTAGTCAGATAATCCATTGTGATTTAAACCAGAGTGTCTGTCTCCAGTGACTAAGTAAATAAAAAAAGCATCTGATTTTTCTTTGGTATAGATCTTAATTTTTGCAACAGCTTTCCAGTTAAAGAAGCTGAAAAATTGAGGAAAACATACTCAAGGAAAAATAAGAAACAGCAGCAAATTGATGAAAACACTTGTCTTCTATCATTTTTTAGGAATACCAATTAAGCAGATTGTGGTTTTGATCAAAGTAATGGGGTGGCCCATAGTGCAGGGTTCTGTTAGTGTTGTAGGTCATGCCGAGCGTTGCATTCCTCTTCTTCATGGCATTCCTTCTCTCCTCCCTGCCTGCGAGCTGCTGCCAAACACTCTTTCTCTGCAGCCATTGTTGCTGGTCAGAACTGTTGAATTCTTATTCTTCCCATGTAGATAATAACTTCCAGGGCTTGTGAAGCCAGAACACATGAATAAAATACTGGAGCTGGAATGTTGTTTTGATTTGGTTTTTAGAAACAACTGTTGGGGCTTTTTTTTTTCTTTTTCTTTTTTTTTTTTTCTTCTTTGACAAGCAAATGTGAATAAAACTCAGCAATTTTCGTCTCAGATAAGTAAAATTCAGTCTCTTGTTCCTGGGCATAAACAAGTCACTTTGCTGGGCTTAGGAAGAGATTGTACTTGCCCATGCAGATGGTGGCACAGCAGAGCTGTGTTCAGTGGGCACTTTCTCTCCTTATCTTAGTGCCTGATGTGTCAGCCTCTCAAAGAGAGATACTGCCATCCTCATGGAGGCTGGGGCATTTGATCATGCTCATTTACAGGGGACATCTCCAGCAGAAGGGCTTGGATGCACAGAGGAGTTGCGTGTAATGATTGCCATTATAAATGTTAGAAGCTTTCTGGAGATTGAGCCAAGCAGCAGAGTGAAGTGAGTGAGTTGCTGTGCATGTCAGATGGGGCTTTTCCCTGCCTTCATGTTGCAGACAAATCTTAAAGATTGTTTTATTGACTCATCAGATTGTGGGTATTCAGCTCTTCCACCCCCCATCATTATAGTCCTGAGAGTCTCAGAGCTTCCTCTTGCACCCAAGCCAGCTGATGGGTTTCCAACTGGCAGTGTGGCTTTTCCCTTGCCAGATGTTCTGTGGGGGATGTTATTTGACAGAGGAGACCCAGGCACACATGAGCATTAGGTCTCTGTGGGTTTGGGTTGCAGAGGGAGCCCTGCTGAAACCCTGGAGTCACTGAGAGAGCACATCTCTTGTAGTTGTGGAAAACTAAATGAGCCATTCACAAATACTCTATGAACCCCTGTCTCTCTCTTCTGCTTTCCTGACAATGTTCAGTGCTAGTGGTTTGGGTGTTTTTTATATGTAAAAGCTTTGCATTGCACTCCCCTGCATAGAGACTTGTGTGTCACTGACTCAGCAGTTACTTGGGTATGCTCTGAAGTGCCACAGAATCCATTGTGCTGTCTGGAAAACCTGAACAGTCCTGATGACTTCCAAACTGAAAAGCCTTTCCAGGCTACCCAAAAGCAGTTCTGCTTGACTTGACCTGGTCTGAGGAAAGTGTCTTCTAGTTTATGGTTAGATTGGTCTTAATACACTGAAGAACTCAAATCTGAGTTCATGGATGCCAGTCGATCATGTAGTTCTGTATGAAGTCTGATATGAGGCAGCACCTAATTTTCCACATCCCTGGCAGGCTATCAAAAGATGGCATTTGGAGCAAAAAATCTTTCAGGACTTTCAGGTTAGCCCTGAGCTTACCTAAAATGTTCTTCACTAAATCTGTTCTGAAAAACCAAAACACGTATACAAAAAACCTCAGTAACTCATCCAGTCTCTACTTTTCTAGTATTAGATGCTCTTTTTCCACTACAGGAAAGCTGTATGAAGCCTCAGACTTGAAAAAAAGTAAATGAAATTGTCATGGTTTGTTTCAGCTGGTAATTCTAACTACAGCACCTGTAAATGTAATGCTCATTTATAGGCAAAGTGCTCAGATGACATTTAATCTAAAACTAGAACTGTAGTGCAGGAATACACACACTCATGATTCAGGACACACATACATTTTCAAACTTGAAACTGTACAGCTAAACTGGAAATTGAATTATCTGGAAAGCAAATGCTGAGTAAATCTCCTGATTTTTCCTTTCTGAATCCCAGTGGCCCTTCCTTGCTTACTGGAGGCAGAACAGGCAGTTCCCAGACTTCACTGTCCCTGCTGCTGTTTGACTTAGCCTTGCCATTCATCTCTACAACTGGATCTCAAGGGCGTCCATGTTGTGTTAACCAGCTCTCTCCCAAGAAGAGTTACTGGCTGTTTGCATCAGCTTTAGCAAATCAAGGCTGTTCAGGTGGCAGCCACCTTTCAGTGACATCCTTGGGATGCTGTGGAGTAGAATGGTACATATGTCCCAATTCAGGCATTGCCATCCCTCCTTCCTGCCCTCTCCTGTTCTCCTTTGCAAGGCGGAGTTTCACACACAATTTCAAAGGCTGAAAAGGGAGAGAGAGGAAAAAAACCCATTAACAACAACCAACCAATCAACAAAAGCCAAACACAAAATACAAGCACTGGAGAGGGCAGAATTGTCTCTCTGTCTACCAAATCCAGTGAAGAAATACTGCTTTCTGTAAAGGTGTTTATAACCTCTGCAAAGCTACCATGTGGCTGCAGATTCTTGGTACAGCGGATGGCAAAAGCTGGAACAAAGCCAGATTTTAAGGTTTTGGGGAATGTGTTGCTCTGCTCCCTGCTGTTTTGGAACAGGGTTTGTGGTGGTAGCTGCTGGTGTGCTATAGGTAGGTAGAGTGCTTCATTTGAGGCGGTGTTTTCTTTGTTTCCCTGGTAAAAGGGAAAGAAAGGTTTTGTGTGCATTTTCAGCTGATTCATTTATCATTAATACAGTTCCTGTTTCCAGTAACTGTTTTCATTTTAAAATAAGGCAAGGCTGCCAGTGTTTCAGTAAGTGTTATATTATATATCAGTTAGACAACTTCTGTTTTATTAATGAGTATAATAATGAAAGTGCGGGTTTCTGAGTAGAAGCAATGAGTGTTTTTATTTAAAGCATAGCAGGCATCATATAATGCCAATGAATACGTTATTGTCACTGTAGGCATGGCTGGTCTAGACCTGCCTCTGATTGGGTTATTCCAAATAGGCCCAAGCACTTCATAAAAATGTCTTTGTCAGCCTAGTTTTCCTTCCAAACCTATTCATCTCTGTCAGTTTTTAATATTAGTACCAGGCTCTTGGCTATAGTCCATTAGTACTGTACTTAATTGCTCATGTTACAGATGATTACCAATATAAAAAGCATTAATGTTTTCCCATCATGGGACTGTTGCTCTGTGCACGACTTGGACTGTACAGAGCTTATAAGGTGTTGTTGTTTTGGTTGTTACTGTCTTCATTAGTGTTCCTCTAATGATCTTTCACGATCACAGAAAGGCAGAGGTGTGTGGTTGGTATGAGCTGATTCAGCCTACAGCGTTCCCTTGAACCTCTCTCAGCTCTTGTCAGTACCCTGCATCTCTCTCTCGCTTATCAAGAAACCCTCAGAAACGGCTCCTTTTCTGCGAAGCACTCTGCCCCATGCTGTCTTCCCCTAATAATGCAGATGTGGTTTTCACATGCAGGGTTTGAGGTTTCTTTTCGCTTTTACACGAAACACATGATCGGCAGCTTTGACTTTCTGGCACGAGCAGTAGGCTGTGTTTCTGCACTGCTGATGACGTTGTTGTCAGGGATTTTTTGTAAACACTACACCACTGCTCCCCCCTTCTCCCCACCAAAAAAAGAACCAAACCAAAAAACCCAGCCTGCTTGTTGGCAAGGTATAAAAAGTTCCCAATAAAATACATTGAACAAAACAGAAATATTGGTAATTACCCGTTGGGATCTTATTCTGTCTCCAAGTCTGGCTGCGATTCATCTTGGTTTCCTCCAGAGCAAGTCCCGTGCACGGGCTGTGCACAAACACACATGGGCTGGGGGTTGTGCTGTGCAGGGCATGCAGTAGCGCTCCTTGGCTTCTCTGGTGGACAGACATGTTGGAAGCATCATGGCAGACAGATGCATGGTGCCACAGACCTGTGGCTTCCTGGCCTCTTTGGGTGCTGCAGGAGGCTGGGCTCCCTTGGCATCTCCAGCAAGGATGGACCCAGAGAACCCCTTGGCCCAAGTCCTGCTCTTCAGCAGCATGTCTCCTGTGCTGGCCCTCACAAGTTACTAGCATTTCAAAAACCAGTCTGTCCTGGGCAGACACAGCTGGAGAGGGATTTATTAGGCCTTGTGCTCTCAGTAAATTAAGGCAGCTGAGTAGGAAAGTATTCTGCAGAGATACAGCCATCTGGAACTTGAGGAGGAGCAGATAGGTGAGATGGGTTCTATTTCTTCACAATTGGGTGGCAGGTGGCTGTGCCCACGCTTTGGACACTGACCTGTAGAGGGTTTTATTCTGGCTGTGAGTGTGGGCCCTGGGTACTTGCACATCTACCAGGGGACTAAACTTCAGGAGATGCAGTGCCTTGTACAGTTCAGAGCCCATTCTGTCATTTTTCTTTCTAAATCTCTCACATAAAAATTATATATGATCACAAACACAAGGCAGGTCAAAATAGGTCCCTTACATGGTTTCCCTTTAACAGCCATAAAGTCTGTCTACCCTGAGGATATTGTGCAGTAATTCAATATGCAGGAGAGCCCTGTGTTCCATGCAAATGCTGTTTGGTTTTCTAAAGGGTTTGGATAACTTTCATAACGTGTAAGCATTTCAGTGGAATTTTGCAGGAAATAACAGCCAGTCGTTAGAGGGAACAAAAAGTAGGGGGCTAGTATAGCATCTGCATGAAATTG